TTGAGAAGTGTACTAGCACTCCACTTGCCATGGAACTCGAAAAGATAACGATTTTGCGACGCCCGTGGCAAGAGACTTTTACATTAAAAACTACCGCCATTAAAAATTGACTTTTTTTAACAATAAATATTATGAAATGCACCCCTATCTTATTTAATACCTTTACTACGTTTTGTATACAATTTAAATATTTTTTATTTATTTTCCTTCTTGTACTCATCTCAAATGCGAATTTAAACAAAGTGTATATGTTCATAATTGAAGGAAAACCGCTTAGCATATTGAGAAAACCAATCCATCCTTTATTTCTAGAACGTATCAAATATACACTGGCTTGAATTTTTTCTGAATTCTAGAAGAATACACGATTTAGTATAAAGGTATCCTGTACCGATAGGGAGGTGGGAAAGGGAACCCTAATACTTTAAAAGCCATAAGCGAGCTAATAGTAAATGTCTTCGTTCAAAAAGATCACCTAAAGGATTAGGGTAACTCCGATCATTTCGGAAAATAAACATTTTTGAGCTGGGGGTGTACAGTGGTAACGCCAAAAGTAGATATATTACTCTTTGATAAGGCTATGCATAACATAATGCATAGTTACACAGAACAAGAACTTTTCAGAAAAACGCATTAAATTTATTACATGAGTCAAAAATTGAAATGGAGCTCCTATACGCAAAGTACAATTATACATCGAACAGTGTCGTGCCTATGCCACAAATAGGTAATATCCTAATAATTTTGGTAGGTACTGACAATTTTTCTTTTATTTTTAGTTTCTGGAAACAATCCAATGTAAATATAAACAAATATATAGAGACGCACGACATCATGTGTTAGTGTATAGTTTTGGAAGTCAAGCGATGCGAATTTGAAAGATGATAATTTGGAAAAATTTTATTCTCAACTTTACTCTTAAAGTTCTCTTATACAAATTGCTTTTTAACGAGAACTAACTTTGAAACCGAATATTTAAGTTTAAACTAATTTATAATGCATGAGAGTTCTTTAAAATAAGATTTGCGTTAACGTATTCGGTGCTTTGATTAATTCTCAAACTGAAATCTACACTATAAGTAGTTTACTTTTTCACATTTTATGAAAACTTCAAGGAGAATTTAAAAAGACACCGTGTACTGTATACATAAGGCCAAATAAAAGTGTCTGTTATGGTTTTAGTTTATGTAATGTATTAGCAATACGGTTTATTGCACATGACTTAATCAAGGCGGTATTCACATTACTAAAGCCAGCTACATTGCTACATACACGCCTTCAAATCGGCCGACATGGCTTCAACAGATTAAATTGTGAAACTTGCATACTGAGTTGGGTTGAACTTTTGGTAGAAACATCGCAAGTGTTGTGAAAAAAATGAATTTGCCCTTGTTTTAGAAAAGAGCACCGAGGGTTCTGACATCCGAGAAATCTGGAGCTAGCTGCAGTGATAATTTATATACCTAATCTACCGGGTGAATATTCCAAAACCGAACCCTGCAATTATACATTAGAAAAAGGTTTTCAGCAGATTGTTGCTCCCCATGTTAATTTAGAGGGTTTATAATGACACCTATCGAAAGAACATTTTGATATACGAATTAGTTAACTTTCAGTTGTATTTCTCATTATTTTATCAAAAATTCCGCAATAAATCCAATTAGCAATACCACACAGTTAAAGTCGTAGCACTTTGCCGCCATCTTGGATTTTATTCGCGGGGTCAATCAAGGTCAATTAAATTGATTCGCGGGTTCGCCCCCGTGGACGAGGGGTGTTTTCGAGGGTGGAGGGGGGAAATTTGGAGTTTGATTTGATTAATTGATTAAAAACTGTGGGATTTTGGTCTTTATTGACATTTGATAAGAGCGATGACGTAATCGATTAATTTAATTCGCGGCTTGATTAATTTAATCGTCGTTTTGATTGATCTAATTAATTTAATTCGGGGTTTGATTGATCTAATTAATTTGATTCGCGGTTTGATTAATTTAATCCGCGGTCCAATTAATTTAATTCGCGGTTTGATTTCTCGGAATTTCCTCTAATTAATTTAATTTGGGGATTTGATTAATTTAATCCGCTGTCCGATTAATTTAATTCGCGGTTTGATTGATCTAATTAATTTATCGATTAATTTAAATTGATCGTATAATCAAGAATAATTACACATATGTAATAATTACACACACAGGTAACTCTAATTGAAAACAAAATGGCAAAATGGCCGCCAAAGGCGGGAAATTTGAAATTTTTTCTATCTTTCTCTCTTACTCACTGCGTCTATCTCTCTCTCTTACTCATTGCGTCCCTCTTTTACCTATTCTGAAATAGAAGTTAGAAAATGAACAAGTTTTAATTATGTTTATTAGGGTGCAACAATTAACAAAAAAAAAAACATTACAATCAAAAATTAAGCGCAAATTACAATTTAAAATATACAATACAAACCCGTTTCCACACCACCCAGGAGGAAGAGTTAAGGCGCGTTTTTTTTAACGTGGTGTTCCCCTGTAGGCCTAATCCACGGTACGTATTTACAAACTTAAAAAACTAAATATGGACATAAAGGTTAAATTAAAAAAGTTTATTAAATAATTGGACTAGGGCCTCCACGCGTGAGCCACAGAGTTCCGGCCACATATTCACCACCGCCGTGAACTGGTGCACTGAAATGTTTAAATTGTTGTGCATAAAGTCAATCACTTCGGGCGTAGGTGCGGACACGTCCAGCTCACACAGGACGTTTATAGTGTCCATTATACTTCCCATAGTGCTCTCGCATAGTCTAATGTAATTACACAGCTCCTCCGAGAGCGTATAAATGTTAGCACGGAGATCGCAGTAGATAAGACTTTTGTTCATTATGCGGTGTTCCAATGTGCGTGGTAGCTCCGTTAGAGCTATATTGTCACGGAGTACCACTAACTCACACATGTTGGATAATGTTGAACCTGTCGTAGGTGTAACTGCGGGGTTAAAATCACTTAACTGCGACAAAAACACCAAACACCCCGTGATGTCGATCTCACGGATCTCGCGGTACATACTCTCCATGTTCTGCACAATCGCGTCACGAAGAACCTCCATGGTGGACGCACGAAAATAACCAACAAATTTTTATTTTTCGTGGTTTATAAGGGTTTAGCCAGACATAATTTCGGGAAATGCAAATGAGAGTCATGTACATTAACGGGGCCTATATTGTACAGTTTGTTTACTTTTTCTTAAATCGTACAATTTTTGAATACAAAATTAATGAAAAATAAGCAAAACATTTTGAAGACCCTGGATTATCTGCATTTTTGAGGCGCCAAGACTACCTGTTTTCTACGAATTCCTCATGGATACTGTTGTTATTTGTTCCTGCTACCCTTTTGTTAAAGATGACAACGGCGCCCGTTCAGTATTGTTTACTTACCGTAGGTTCCTTTCTTGTAACTTTCCTACCTTTAAATAAAAATGCGGAAATACATTTAGGCTTTTATTGATCAATTAGATTAATGTTATAAAAAGTCATATTATACAATAAATCAATTATATCATCGTTACATTCTAAATCATCATTAAACATATCTACAAATTCCTTAAGTGATAAATTATTAAACTTAAAAACTAAATACATTAAACAATATTGTCCACAATAAGTTGATAAAGGATGCTGCAACACGCGCGAATTAAAGGTGAATTTCCGGGCGTGTTTTTTCAAAAATTTTAAATGTAATCCGGTAGGTGGTCGTCCGAATGAATCGAAATATTCTCCATTTCCATCTTCATCTATGTAAATTCCGTTCCAGTGTTGCCCTGTGCGTGTTGAAACATCTGTATTGACAATTGCAGCAAATGGCCGACGTACACTTGCTCGTATAAGTTCATCTGATGCGAAAACAGCACGCGCAGCCTTCTAAATCAGATTCAACGCTCGTTGAAGTTCTAGGGTATTCATTTGTTGAATCAATTTGCGCCCACTCGTGTAATATTAAGGCATTTTCTTGAGCGCACATAAGCGTGTTCTCCGCATGATTGAGGCACCTTACACCGCTATGACTTTTCTTTAACTTCTTTAGCGAAGGGCAACCCACGTCTTCTAAATTAATTACAAACTTGTCAAGGAAATTTAGCAAGTATTGTTTCTCCACTCCCTTTACGTATATTCTATTAAACGGCTGGAGTAACGTGCGTAGTTCTTCTTCAAAGTCTTCGTATCTAATGTACCCGGAATTCCATTTCAAGCCATGATAACAGTCTTCCAAGAATTTGATTTCTTTTTTCATACCTGATGTTACAGTATAATTAGAGGGCGGCTTCATCAGTAGAGTTGTGCAACTAGGCCCCTCCG